TGTGTGTGTGTGTGTGTGTGTGTGTGTGTGTGTGTGTGTGTGTGTGTATGTGTGTGTGTGTGTGTGTGTGTGTGTGTGTGTGTGTGTGTGTGTGTGTGTGTGTGTGTGTGTGTGTGTGTGTGTGTGTGTGTGTGTGTGTGTATATCCATCCATCCATTTTCTTTACCCGTTTATTCCATTTTGGGTCACGGGGGTCGCTGGTGCCCATGTCCAGCAATCACTGTGCGAGGGGCAGGGAACACCCTGGACGGGTCGCAAGTCCATCACAGGGCCACATAGAGACAAACGAGACAAACAACCATTCACTCTCTCACGCACACACACACACACACACACACACACACACACACACACACACACACACACACACACACACACGTTTGTTTTGCTATCTTTGTGGGGCCTTTGCATTGACTTCCATTCATTTTTCATTCATTTCTATAGCCTAACCATGACCTTTATCCATAACCTAACCATTACCAGTACATACCTAACCCTAAACCTAACACATCCTCAATTCACACCTTAGTCCTAAACCTAGCCCCTAACCCACCAACGGGACTTCTTCTTATGGGGCCCGGGCTTTGGGCCCCATAAGGAGCAGTTGGTCCTCACAATGTAGTATAAGTTGGAAAAATTGGCCTCACAAAGTAGCATAAACAAGGACACACACACACACACACACACAGACCCTTTCCAAAAAATTAGAATATCATGGAAAAGTTGTTTAACTTCCATAATTCCAATCAAAAAGTTAATCTTTAATAGATGATAGATTCAGGGCCCACAATTTAAAGGATTTCAAGTATTTATTTGTTTATTTTTACATAATTTGGGCTTCCAGCTCATGAAACCCACAAAAACAGTTTTTCAAAAAATTAGAATACTGTGGAGAAATCAGCCCAAATGTTGCAGGGCATGAATGTTTTAAACTGAGTGTGACACTAATCATCTACTAAACTCAAAGCACCTGCACAGGTTTCCCCAGGTGTCATTAAATTGCTTCAGTTTGGTTCAATTGTCTCAGTTTGGTTCAATATGGGGACGACTGCAGACACAACAACTGGCTAGAAGACCATCATTGATACCCTCCATAGGATGGGTAATCCACAAAAGTTCATAGCTAAGGAGGCTGGCTGTTCACAGAGTGCTGTGTCCAAGCATATCAATGGAAAGTCTAGTGGAAGGGCAAAATGTGGCAGGAGAAGATGCACCAGCAAAAGAGATGACCGTGGGCTTCAGTGAATTATCAAACAGAAAATTCCAGAATCTGGCAGAGATCCAGAAAGAGTGGAATGAGGCGGGAGTCACAGCTTCAAAAACCACCACATTCAGATGCATCCGAGAGATGGACTACAACTGTTGGGTTCCTCTGTCCTCTTTTCCAATGAAAGTAAAGTGTGCCTTTCATTCAGAAATCAAGGTCCAAGGGTTTGGAGGAAGAAGGGTGAGGAACAGAGCCCATACTGCTTGAGGTCCAGTGTGAAATATCCACAGTCAGTCATGATTTGGGGTGCAATGTCCGGTGCAGGTGTTGGTAAACTCTGCTTTCTTAAATCCAAGGTCTCCGCAACAGTCTACCAGAATGTTTTAGAGGACTTCATGATTCCTTCTGCTGAGGATCTGTATGGAGATGCTGATTTCATCTTCCAGCAGGACCTGGCCCCTGCCCATGTCGTCAGAAGCAACAAAACCAGGTTTGATGCCCATGCATAGGCGTCGCAACCATTATATGCAAAGGGGACATGCCCCCCCCCCCCCCCACCCCACACACACATTAAAAAAAAAGTTCATTTGGAGCCCCCCCACTTTTACTATGAAACATTAGTTCAGTCAGTGCAGTTTCTCCTTTTTCATTAACAATCCATTCCACTTGATTAATAGGAGAATACTCAAGCCACTAAAACTCCACTCCAGGTTTTCCTGGTTACCTCCAACTCTCCACCAGCAGCAACAGTGTTTCTCCTCCGAGTCTCCTGCCTCGGCAGAAAACGCGTACAGGTGAAGGAGGTGGAGACACCTCTGTGTTGCTCGCTTGCCAGCTTAGCAAGTTTAGTGCGGACAGTTGTTGACGGGTGTGTGTGTGTGTGTGTTGATCATACATATACTGTATACATAGTTAGAATGATGCTTGAGAGGAGTGCTACATAGCATCTTAGCTTAGCAGTAACTGTGACACTGTCAGACGCTGCAGGTGTAAGAGACTCTGTGTGTTGAGGTGCATTGAAGTTGAAATGTCTTTGTGACCCACAGATGAATTTACACAAACTTGGTGAGAAACATGATTTAACTGTGTGGAATTAAAGGAAATCTAGGGGAAATGCTGCTTTTTTGTTCACCAGTGAACACATTTTTTTAACGCGCGCACTCATGCACATGTGCATACCTGCGCACACACACACACATCATTTTATCTCCACCCCCCCCCCCCCCACACACACACACATTACAGATGCTTCTGACGCTCTTGTGCCCATGCCACAGTGCTCGACTGGCCAGCCAACTCCCCGGACCTAAACTCCATTGAGAATCTATGAGATATTCTCAAGAGGAAAATGAGGAGCACCAGATTCAACAACAAACAAGAGCTGACAGCAAGCATCGAGGAAATCTGGGCTTCCATAACTCCCAGTCAATGCTACAGGCTGATTGCCTCAATGCCACGTCGCATCGAGGCAGTGATTAAGGCAAAGAGATCCTCAACCAAGTATTGAAGATTGACATATTGTTTTGAAAGTACCATATTTTGATTGATTTGTTGTGATCCTAATTTCTTTCTTTTTTCTGCAAAAACTGAGCAGTGTGGGCTGATGTCTTCACAGTATTCTAATTTTTTGAATTCCTGTTTTCGTGGGTTTCATGAACTGGAAGCACAAATTATGTAAAAATAAACAAATAAATACTTGAAATTGTTTAAATTGTGGACCCTGAATCTATCATCTATTAAAGATTAACTTTTTAGAATAGAATTATGGAAGTTAAAACAACTTTTCAATGATAGTCAATTTTTTTTTGGAAAGGGTCTGTTTATATATATATATATATATATATATATATATATATATATATATATTATATATATATATATATATATATAAACATACACATACATACACACACACACACTCCAGTTGAATCAAAAAGATAACTGGGACGCCTTTTTTAGACTGTAAATATACATGACAATTAGTTTGAAAAAAACATTTTCAGAAGTAAACTTGTAGAGCATCCAAACAAAATCAAATGACTTGTCTTTCTCGTCAGCGTTTCAGTCTGAGATAATCATCTGTTATAGCTGCTTTGAGCAAATCGTTAGGCGTAATCATATGTAATGTCTGGTAGCGCTCCGACTATGTGATGTGAAAGGCTCAGCTACTACCACATCAAATTCATAAGCAGTAAGTACACAGTGTTTGCTGAGGTCAATTAGCTGTGGCAGCCATCTTGAATCAAATTGATTCCAAAAGATAATCAGCTGTAGATGAACATGCAATGATTCCTTTCTGGGAGTTTCATTAAAATATATCCAGTGGTTCACAAGATAGTTTGCTAACAGACAAAGTAGACTACATTAGACTACATTATCAGATGCTTTTCGCCAGCCGGCAACAACCGCATTTTATAAGACACGCATCAGTTACCTGTGAGAGTAGAGCTCAAATGTTGAGTTGAAGAAGTCAAATCTGGCAACAAAATCAGTAACAGGAGCACTCTCGATGGTCGTCTGCAGCAGAATATTAAGGAGGCGGTGATTTATTAACCACCTGACTTTAATATTTAAAAAAACATTTTAAAGATTCAGACAAGCGGCTGACCTTCAGTTTGGGCAGGAACGTGATCTGAGTGGATCCTCCTCCTAAATCCAATATTCCCACCGTCCTCCTGGTGTTTACATTCAGATGACCTGAAAACATTTCCCACCTTCAATCCAGCAACCACAGACGAGAGAAGCTAATCAGTCACGCACGAGATGCTATCTTTAAAAATGGCCCTTCTTGGTAAACATGTTACCAAGAAGCCAAAAAATTCTAGCTCCGTCTGAAAGATCACAGCAAGGGCCTTAAGGCAAAGTGTTTGTTGTTGAACTCTTATCTGATGTAAAAATGAGCAAACACAAGCTACATTTGCAGTGCTTACCTGTCAGAAAGTTTAGAGAAATCCAAGCCAGGATTCCTGAATTTGCAAAGAAAAAACAAATTACAAGCAAAAAAAAAACCCAAAGCTGTCATTTTATCTGAAACACAAACACAAGTGCATTTCGAGGTACAAGTACACACAAGTAACACTGAAATGCTGACAAATCAGTTACACTACACCACCACGGCCTAGCACTTTTTTAAACCACATGATTATTGGCTTTGCTTCAAGTGACTTTGTGGTGAAAGGGCATTATCATCAAACATTTCTAATGGGCTGTAATTTAGCTTAAACGCCCGTGGACAACACTAACGCAACACATCTGCAAAATACTAAACGTCTGGAATAAGTGACGGATATGTTGCTTATCGGGACAGACGGTGGGCAGACTTCACCTTCATTTGTGCCATCCATAATGCTGACGCTGTCGTCTGGGACCAAAAAAGGAGATTCATCAAACACATGTTGAACCTGAGGAGAAGGGGGGGGGGGGGGGCAGCAGGGTGAGACAGGGGAAGTAAAACGAGCCCTCTGTTATCTACTGTAATGAAAGCTCCAGAGGTGTCCCCCCTGTTGGGTGGGATTAATTAATTCCCTCAGGAGGGATTAATGAAGTACTATCATTTATCTTCCAAGGTGCGTCAGGCCTGTTTTTTTTCTAATGATAGCCTTCCACTCTGAGCTCACAACACTCTCGTCTCTACTATCTGCAGTAAAAACACTTCTTTCTGCTGCTGCATCCTCTGATAAGAGGCTGCACTCTTCTGTGAAAGTGTCAAACAATGTAGAGCCTTGATTACAAAGTGATAACGTGCACTCTGCTGCACTGAATCTGGTTAAAACGGCCCCTCGAGGGCTTCGTCTCTGTGCACTCTTTTGACCTGGTCCAGGAGAGTCTGGGCTTTCTCTGCAGGTAAGAGGCGAAGTCCAGCTGTGGCCCTGAGGACCAGCGGAGTCCTCTTCCAGTCCAGACGAGGAACCGTCTTCTTCGCCACCTTTAACAACAGCGTCACTGTTTGCCCAGCCTGCAAGAACACAAACATCAACAAAAACAAGCTCCGTTGTGACGAGTAAAATAAGCCAAACTCTTAATGTTATGGTAATTTCATCTGCTTGAACGTCCACCGGTTTGTCAGTTCAGTTTTCCTCTCCTTTTATTTATTTTCATCAGTAATGCGATCCCCGCAGAGAGCGACTATCGACAGCGTTTCTGGCCACAATGCAGAGCCGGCGGACCTTTCTCCCTCGGCTCAATAAAATTGATTACGTTTGACAATGAACTCACCATTTCAGGGGAGTCAGCATATGCCGACAAGCCGGGCTTTATGGAATGGAACATCTCATTGTCCAAAACCGGTAACTGTTCTGAAACGCACAACATCAAATATGAAGCAGCTGTTAAAAGCATTAAAATGTCTACGCCTGTTAGCTTATATACATAATTTATCTGAGAAATGAAGTCAAATATAACTTATGACCCCTGAAGTGACTCAGTATGACTCAGAAAAGCAATTAAATTCACTTTTATTCAATCAAGTGAATGAATCAATCGATTTACATCTCTTTCTTTGCAGTGAGCATTTTACACGGTTACAAGTCCAGATTTAAAGGCAGTAAACCAAAAAAAAATAAAAAGGAAATACATTGTGGTTTTACCCAAGTCACTCTGAATGAAGGTGTAGACGTGAATGCGCGTGCCGGTGCTCCCCGCGTCAAACATCACGGCATAGAAGATGCGGCTGTGGTTGGCTGGTCGGCTGAGGCTGGGTAGGATCCTGGACAGATCCAGGAGAGAGGTCTTGACTTGAGCTCGGGTCAGTCCTGACACAGTCAGGAGGACCAGGAGAAGAAGTGGGACGGTTGGCTTCATCCTCCCTCTGAGATGTGAATAAACAGGTTCTTGTTAACGCAGGTAAGAAATGTTGTGAACTGCTGGAAAGCAGCCCAAACAGAAGATGACTCGTACCGAGTCGTCAAATTACAACATGACAGGCAGCAGAGTAATAACAAGCAGTCTGGGTTATTTAACCATCAAATCTGACCACACCCTGCCGCTGTCCAGCCTTCCAAAGTGAAGTTTACACAGATACCATCACAGTGGTGCTTGAAAGTTTGTTAACCTTTTATGATGTTCCACATTTCTGCATAAATTTATGAAACATCATCAGATTTTCACACAAGTCCTAAAAGTAGATAAAGAGAACCCGGTTAAACTAATGAGACAAAATACAGTGCTTTTCGAAAGTATTCGACCCCCTTGAACTTTTCAACCTTTTGCCACATTTCCGGCTTCAAACATAAAAATATAAAATGTAATTTTTTTGTGAAGAATCAACAACAAGTGGGACACAATCGTGAAGTGGAATGAAATTTATTGGATGTGTCAAACTTTTTTAACAAATAAACTGAAAAGTGGGGCATGCAATATTATTTGGCCTCCTTGCGTTAATACTTTGTAGCGCCGCCTTTTGCTGCAGTTCCAGCTGCAAGTCTCTTGGGGTTTGTCTCTATCAGTTTTGCACATGGAGACACTGAAATTCTGCCCATTCTTTCTGCAAAACAGCTCGAGCTCAGTGGGGTTGGATGGAGAGCGTTTGTGAACAGCAGTCTTCAGCTCTTTCCACAAATTCTCGATTGGATTCAGGTCTGGACTTTGACTTGGCCGTTCCAACACCTGGATACGTTTATTTGTGAACCATTCCATTGTAGATGTGTCTTTATGTTTTGGATCATTGTCTTGTTGGAAGATAAATCTCCGTCCCAGTCTCAGGTCTCTTGCAGACTCAAACAGGTTTTCTTCCAGAATGGTCCTGTATTTGGCCCCATCCATCTTCCCATCAATTCTGACCATCTTCCATGTCCCTGCTGATGAAAAGCAGGCCCAAACCATGATGCTGCCACCACCATGTTTGACAGTGGGGATGGTGTGTTCAGGGTGATGAGCTGTGTTGCTTTTACGCCAAACATATCGTTTTGCATTGTGGCCAAACAGTTCAATTTTGGTTTCATGTGACCAGAGCACCTTCTTCCACATGTTTGGTGTCTCCCAGGTGCTTGTGTCAAACTTTAAACAACACTTTTTATGGATATCTTTGAGAAATGTCTTTCTTCTTGCCACTCTTCCATAAAGGCCAGATTTGTGCAGTGTACGACCGATTGTTGTCCTATGGACAGACTCTCCCACCTCAGCTGTAGATCTCTGCAGTTCATCCAGAGTGATCATGGGCCTCTTGGCTGCATCTCTGATCAGTCTTCTCCTTGTTCCAGATGAAAGTTTAGAGGGACGGCCGGGTCTTGGTAGATTTGCAGTGGTCTGAAACTCCTTCCATTTCAATATGATTGCTTGCACAGTGCTCCTTGGGATGTTTAAAGCTTGGGAAATCTTTTTGTACCCAAATCCGGCTTTCAACTTCTCCACAACAGTACCTTGGACCAGCCTCGTGTGTTCCTTGGTCTTCATGATGCTCTCTGCACTTTGAACAAAATCCTGAGACTATCACAGAGCCGGTGCATTTATACAGAGACTTGATTACACACAGCTGGATTCTATTTATCATCATCAGTCACTTGGGACAACATTGGATCATTCATAGATCCTCACTGAACTTCTGGAGTGAGTTTGCTGCACTGAAAGTAAAGTGGCCGAATAATATTGCACGCCCCACTTTTCAGTTTTTTATTTGCTAAAAAAGTTTGACACATCCAATAAATTTCATTCCACTTCATGATTGTGTCCCACTTGTTGTTGATTCCTCATAAAAAATTTACATTTTATATTTTTATGTTTGAAGCCTGAAATGTGGCAAAAGGCTGAAAAGTTCAAGGGGGCAGAATACTTTCGCAAGGCACTGTATACTTCATTTATTTATTGAGAAAAAGTACCCAGTATAACATATTTGTGAGTGGTAAAAGTATGTGAACCTTTCAAAAACACAAAGTTTGTTTTCTCAGTCATCCAGGTATATAACAACAAAACTTTGTGTTTTTGAAACCATTAGTGAAAAGGCCAGACTTCAGGG